ATGGAAATGTCTTCTTAATCATTTTAAATGCTCCACAGAGAAATTGCCAATAAAGTTCTTAAGAAGTTACATTAATATTATCTATTTTTATCTAAATATATTTTATATTTAAGTACTCATAATATTTTTTATTTGATATAAATTATATTACTGCAACATGGTTTAAATATTTCACTGGTAAATCAAATTGATAAGACTACACATTATTTTTAATAAAAAGTCATTTAAGGGAAAAATGTTTAAATACATTTTGTTTCATCTATCCTATTCTTTGCAAAACAGAACTGCCAGAATAAAATACTAGAAACAAACAACAACAACAAAAACAAGCGCACCCCCCCACCACCACCACTAAACTCCCATCTTACTAAATGTTATCCTTGGGTTCCTCCAAGAATGAAAAATCTTTTTGATTACTATATTTTTTTTTTTTTGTATAAACTAAACCATACAACCCAATTATAGCAAAGGTAATTTAAAAATGAGCTTTCCCACTGCTCAGGAAGACTATAGCTTTACTTGGAAGATCACATATTCTAACTATTATATAAGGGTGTCACCTTACTTACAGCATGTTCTCCTTAGGTTTCTTTTGTAAAACTAGATAATTTATACAGACACAAATTCACAAGATGCAAATGTACTGTGAAAAGAGCATCCAAATGCGGTGCAAAAGTACCATTTTACTCAATCTCATCCAGTATTGTTAGCATTACCAGATGGGGAAAAGTGAACTGAAATTTCACACTTCTGCCTTTCACTTCCATGTGATTTCTTCACAGCCCTGCTCAGTGGCACATACCGGATAGTAGGTTAAACATTTAACAACTAACTCTATCTAAATCTAAACTTCCCTTCATTTAGACACTGAACCTCAGAATCAGAAAAAATACAGTGATGACGGGTTTCACTAAATTCATGACTCCAAATCTCAAATGAATACGGTACTCAACCTGCCATTAACCCTTCTCTGTTCCAAGGTATGTCGATTCTCCCAGTTGTCAAAACTACAAGTAATCACTTTCTCTTCTTTCCATGGACTGCCACCAGCCTTCCTTCCCATTCTCTATCCAATGCCTTTGCCTCCTATTTTGTTTAAAAACAGCTTATTCAGACAGGAACTCCTCATCTTCACCCACCACGTTTACTGTTTATACCACACAACTCAGTGCAGTGGATAAGCCAGACACTAACGATCCATTCCCCTTCCCCACTAGCCTTCAAAGACAGTTCTTTTACAATTATACTCTCCCTAGAATCTCCCTTTTGGACTGAACAAATGCAACCTTTCTTTGATCCTCTTTCTACTTCCATGATAGAATCTGCCAGCTGCATAAATACTGATTTCCCCCCTTCTCTCTCAAATGAAGCAATACCCAGTTTTAGTGAGCACATTGCAATCTAGCTTTCCTAGCAGCTAGGCAGGGTCATGTGACTATATCTCATTTCTGGTCAGTATATAAGCAGAGGTGAGCAGGATTCTGAAAAGTCTTGGTCCTTCTTCCCCCTTTTCTCCATCTACACTTGGAATATGGATATTAGACCACTCTTTCCAAAGTCATCAGTTTGCAAGTTCTAATTCTCTGCTTTTATCTTAGTCTCTCAGCAGCATTAGATACAGATGATGCCTCACTCAGTCTTGAAACACTTTTTTTTTTAATGTCTAGAAATCCACCAAATGCTAATTTTTTGGTTATCTCTCTGATCACTCCTGATTCTTTATGCTGCTTTCTCCCTGCCTTCTTGACCTCTATTTTTTTTTAAATGCCCCAGTCCTCTTCTCTTAACTCTACTCACTCCTTTGCAATTATTTTAGAACTATGGTTTTATATTCTGATGACACTCCGATGTCCTAATTCATATACACTGAGGGGCCAGATTATTATGATCTCTGAACATATAATAATCTGGACATTCAGTATATATCCTATATAATAAAAGGCTAATATGCAACTTGTCCCCTTGACCAGGAGTTCGATCAGCAGGCAGGCCGGCCAAACTGCCCATGTCCTCTCCGTCTGGCCAGGCTGGCCGGACCCCACCCATGCACATATTCATGCACTGGGCCTCTAATACACACACACACACACAGAGTGGGCAGATTATTATGCGTTCAGATATCATAATAATCTGGCCACTCAGTGTATTTAAAACAGATGCTTCACTTAGATGTTTAAAAGACATCTCAAAAGTTACTTGACCAAAACAAAACTCTTCCCACTTCTGAACTGTAGTCCTTCCCATCTCAGTACATGCTCACCATTCTCTTGGTTGCTCAATGCAAAAGCCACGAGTTATCCTGGATTCCTCTTTCTCTCTCAGTCCATGTGCATTCATCAGCAAGTCCCACTGGCTCTGCCTCCAGAGAACATCCGTCATTTCTCTCTGTCCCCACTGCTATCACCCCGATGTAAGCCACATCTCTCTCATCGGACACCTGTGATGGCCAATGTGTCCCTCCTCTATTTTCTAAGAGAAGCCAAAGCAATCTTTTCAAAGTGCAGATCTGATTGTGCTTCTTCCCTGCCTCTCAGAATGAAATCTAATCTCCTCAGATAGCCTCCAAGGCTCTAGGTGACCTGCTCAACCTCCTCTCCGATTTCATTTCCGGTCACTCTTGCCTCAAGTGTTGTGTTTCAGCCACACTGGAGTTTTATTTCGCATTTTCTGCACATACTAATCTCTTGCCTGCTTTTTATTGAATGCCAGCAGTGGCTTCCATTTAAATGCTCTTTCCCAGTGTCTCCTCACTACCAGCCTCTTCCCCATCTAAGCTAAGGCAGCTTCTTATGTTTACACAAGACATAAGATTATACTTCAAATATCTAAAGATAGTGGTTGTACTTTCTAATGGTAAAATACTCCCCATCTAATAGGTCTGCACAAGAAACAGTAGTGGGTCTAACCACCACTTCCAAACTGTCCTAATGGCAATGCAGTGGCATACTCAGCTATCAACTGTGCCATGCATATGCAACGCTGGTCCAATTTACCACTTCTCATCTGCCTGCATCAACTGATCTCTTCCTCAGGAGCATGACCTGATTTAAACTAACCCTTACCCCCTTTCATTTCAAGCTCACACGCTATCTCCACCTGATGCATCTTTCACACCACCAAGCGCTACTGCCTTTAAAATCTCAGTACACTACAGTTATTTCTCCTTCTTCCCAGAAGTCCTGGCATCATTTAGCTTGAGGACACCTTCCCTGTTCTTTGGAGAAAGGCCTCGTGGACTCCTTTCTTACACAAAGGTCCGGATTTTCCACACATGTAAATTAAAACAAGTTCTAATTTTCACACAGGTAGGCTGGGGCTACCAGCGTGATTTCTAATCAGCAACAAGGAAGCCACAGGAAGGAGAAGCTCTTTGGAGCATCATCAGAATAGACAAGAAGCTGGAAGAATGAGGTGGAGACAATGCTGGTGTGCTGGCACAAACTGGAACAATCCCTGATGGACCATTCCTATGGTCCCTGACAGACATGACACCTCTACACTATAGCAATCACTCCCTTTTCCTCTAATAATCACCAAAGAAAACAAGTATTACTCCAAAGCAGAATAAACATTTATTCTACCCAGCTGTGCACAGTGGCACTCTTTGAGGACCATCTGTAATCTAATTTACTCCCTTTGTCCCAAAACACACTGATATCTCACGTAGAGTAATAATTGTTGGGAAGTTAATGATTAGATAGATACACAGTTTGGTCATCTGAAAACAGTCCTCATTTCAGTGTATCAACGTTCTGGTAAAAAGAGTAGCCTGAAAGAAGTAGAATGAAGAAAAATAAATAACACTCTAAAAGTGTTGCACAGATAATGCCCAGAATGTCAAAACAGTGACCACAAGATGACTAGAATCATCCGGGTATGTGATTAGCTGTGATTCAGAAACAGAAAGTAAAACAAAATGAAAGTTTTATAGGCTCAAATCTGTTATAGTGATTTTTTTTTTTGTCTTATGTACATTCTGAGGTGCAATAATTTCTAATAACATGCCACATTGAATCAGACTACTAATATTCTGTCTTTGACAGATACAGCAAAGGAATCTGGAGAATCCAGATAACTATCTTCTTTATCTGCCTAAATAGATAATAATGTTCCCTCCTTAGTTCTTCCCTGCTCCTGGATAACACACCACATAGTTACCCTTTACAAAATTAACCTCAACCATATCCAGTCAGATTTTCTTAATACGTTCCTTAAAAATGTGAGCCCTAGCCTGTTTGGCTCACTGGATAGAGCATTGGCCTGCAGACTGAAAGGTTCCAGGTTGGATTCTAATCAAGGGCAGACAGCAGGGTTGCTGGTTCGATCCCCAGTGGGGGGCATGCCAGAGGCAGCCGATCAATGATTCTCATCATTGATGTTTTTATCTCTCCCTTTCCTTCTTCCTTCCTCTCTGAAATGAATAATAATAAAAAATAAAAATTAAAAAAAAAACTTGATAGTGCTGCCTCTTTTCAAACCTGTGAGACTTGGTCAAGTTTCATTAATCTCACCTAGAATCAGAGAGTTATAAAGCAAACATAAATATGTACTTTTTTACATCTTTTTTCATTATAAAATTATATTATGTGCCTAAAGCTCTAAAGAAAAATGCAGTTCAGTGTTATCTCTTCTATATATAATTATTTCTTTTTAAAATATATTTCTATTGATTTAGGAGAGGAAGGGAAAGAGAGATATATAGAAACATCAACGATGAGAGAGAACCAGTGACTGGCTGCCTCCTGCAAGCTCCCTACTGGGGATCCAGCCAGCAACCCAGACATGTACCCTGACTCAATCTGTAGGTCAACATGAGCCAAACTGGCTAGGGCTATAATTATTTCTTATGTTCCTTCTAAAGAATTCTAGCCTCCTAAAATCTGTTCTTAAAGGAATTCCTCCATCTCTCAAGCACTAGTAGTAGTCCTTTTCTTAATCTCCACCAAGTTCAGCTAAGAACTGAAAACAGTGAAGTCAATTTAAAACTTGACTTGACTTACAACATTGTGTGATCTTCTGGATGTTGGAAGAGATCCGCTGGGCCAGCTGAGTGGGGTCACCACTGGTTCCTGATGTGTAAGACATGGTTGATTTGCTTAGTCAGTAATTTCATCAGATGCTGGTGGACTGTACAGTTTCCTAAGCAGTCACCTACATAACAACAACAAAAAAAGGTGCATGGTTGTATTTTGAAAGTTATTGACTTATAGTTTCCAAACAATTTGGGAGGTTGCAAATATAAACTTGATTAACCTAAGAGGGTTGAAATCTCTCCCCTATGTCTATCAACAAAACTAAACTTTATAAGACACTGTCGACTTAAATATGTTAAACAAAGTAAGGTTCAAACTGTACATTCCCTTTGAACTTCTCTGATTTCTCTACGGAAGAATTATAAAGTCCTTTTTTTTTCTTTTTAATATATTTTATTGATTTTTTTTGCCCCCCTCCCTCCCTCCCACACTTCCCTTCCCTCCCCAGAGTTTTGTTCCATTGGTTGTACTTATATGCATGTATAAAAGTCCTTCGGTTTATCTATTATCTCTAAAGTCCTTTTTTCTGTGTATAATTTTGTTTATATATTTTGTCTTTAAACTGTGAGCAACTTTAAGGCAGGGCCCACATGCTATTTATTTATCTTTCTCCACCAGTTAAAACAATCCCGGGCACAGAACAGATATTTAAATATTTATTAAACAGAATACAGACTTCAGGCTACCCCTAGGAATTTCATTACTCTAATGTAACATACAGCTCAGGAACATATGATTAATGGTCTCTAATTTTAGAGATCAAAAAGGAAGAAGGTCAAGTTTGAAAGAGCAAAGCCAGCAAGCGAGGAAGAAAGCAATGCCCTGTAAAATGCTTACTATACAAACATCTTCCTGATAGAGCAAGAACAGCTCTCCCCGACAAGGGCCGGCATTAGGACAGGAAGCTAAGCTGGGCCACTGCTATGACAAGGAGGTAAGAAGAGAAATTCTTTTCTTCTTCTAGCCACACCACACCATTGGGAGTTTGAAAAGAAACATGTCTTATGTACAGGACTGTGAACAACAAAGAATTTCAACTACTCCTACACCATCTTTTCACTGAGTGTGTACTGAATACTGCAGAGTTGTAGGCGGTCAATTTGTAAGCCAACCATCTACCACAAGTTTACTAGAGGCCCAGCTTTAAAAGAAGCACTTGGGCTTGGCTCTGTGGTTGAGTGTCAGCCAATGAACTGGGAGGTCATGGTTTGCTTCCCAGTCAGGGCACATGACCAGGTTGCAGGCTTGAGCCCCAGTAGGGGGCATGTCTCTCTCTCATTGATGTTTCTCTCTTTCCCTCTCCCTTCCTCTCTATAAATCAATTTTTAAGAAAATTTTAAAGAAGCACTTGGGAGCTGCAAGCAAATACAACAACAAAGGTAAAGTAAGTATTTGTTCAAGTCAAGTTGGTCTTTTAGGTGAAAAGGATAAAGTTAGTCATGTAAAACAACAAAAGCAATACAAATCAGTGAAGAAAAGGTCAATACTGACAGGGACTATGGAAAGGAAATATCACTATTGCCCCTATGTAGTAAGAATTCATGAAACAGAAGCATAAGACTTAGATATCTGGGTATGGAAAACAACAAAGGCAAAGCACTAAAACCTGGAGCGGGTAGACCCAGAATATGAGGACAGAGCAAACACACTGCGTCAATCACCAGAGAAAGGAGAGGTTCCTGGTCAACTCTGAGCCAGAAGATTCATGGCTGGGACATGTGAGAGACAGCACTGAAAAAAAAAGAGACTGGATCTGGGGATTCAATGAGACTAACCATTCATTGCACATCTGTGAAAGGAGAAGCATTTCACAAAGACTATCTGATTCAATTTTTAAAATCTCCCCTTCAAAGTAGGTAATGGCAAATACACCTTGTTTTAACGATGAGCAAACAAACTGTGGTTTATAAAGGTTAAGACACTGGAAAGGTAACCCAACCCATCCACCGGGGGGAAGGAGGGGGATTCTATCCCAGGGTTCTGGTTCCAAAACTACTCGAGCTGGGCTCCCACACAAAACTAGTGTCACAGAAGAGGGCGGGCCCTACACGCCGGGTTAGTTTGAATGTGTTGTGATAAGAAACCACTGCAGAATTCTGGAAGGGGAGAAGAGGCCACAAGGAAATATGTTTCTGTTCTAAGGGTCAGTGCTGGCAGGAAGTACAACAGTGGAACTGTTGAGATGGGTGCAACAGTACTGGTTCCATGCCTGAAACACTGACATGTGTCCTGGGAGCTTTTTGATGCTCTCTATTCTTCTTCATTGGTTCATAGATCAAAACAGCACTGGCATATTTTGGGTCCTCTGGACCTCACCAAGTCCTAGAGATAGATCCAAAACCAATTTCATAAAAGGGTAAATTAAAACCTCAATGCAGACAGCAGAACCATTGCAGCAGGGCGGCAGGAATGAAGTTCCAGGCAGCTTTGGACTTGGGCCTGCAGTGACCTGAAGCTCTGGGCCCAGAGAGACTGGATCTGGGGATTCAATGAGTCTAACCATCTACAAACTGCCAATTGGATCTCAAAATTATGCATCTTTTTTTTTTTTCAAGAGCGCTTTATTGAGATATAACTCACATATCATATGATTTACCCACTTAAAGTGTATAATTCAGCCCTAACTGGTTTGGCTCTGTGGATAGAGCATAGGTCTGCAGACTGAAAGGTCCCGGGTTAGATTCCAATCAAGGGCACATGCCCAGGTTTTGGGCTCGATCCCCAGTAGAGGGCGTGCAGGAGACAGCCGATCAATGGTTCTCTCATTGATGTTTTTCTCTTTCTCTCCCTCTCCCTTCCTCTCTGAAATCAATAAAAGTATATTTTTAAAAATAAAAAATTGCACTATTTAGTACATTGTAATTTAAAAAAATAATAAAGTGTACAATCCAACAGTATTTTTAAACATTCATCAAGTAGTGCCACCATCACCACGTCACATTTAGGACATTTCATTAAGATAAAGTCCATACCCATAAGCAGCCACTCCCCCTTGCTCTCCAATCTCCCCAGCTGTAGGCAGCCACTAATCCACTTTATATCTTCATAGGTATGCCTATTCTGCGTATTTCATATGAATGGAATCATACAATATGTATTCTTTTGCGACTGTTATGTTTTCAAGGTCCATCCATATTGACGTATGAATCAATACTTCATTACTTTTATAGCCAAATAATATTCTACTACATGGTTAGAGAAAATTTTCTCCTGGCTTAATGACATCTTTCTTTTTCCTTTCCCTCTTATCAGCTAGAGCTCTAGAAAAACTGGCTCACAGACAACACAAACACACTGGATGAGGAAATATTCCTTTTTTCTTATTTATGTACTCTCTTCTACTCTCTTGGGTGCATGTGTGTGAGGGGAGAGGCTCCTCCATCCACATACACAAACACACCTATATACACATTAGTCTCCCCTCCATATCTCCAAGTCATACTCTTAAAAAAAAAAAAATATATATATATATATATATATCTATATCTATATATCTATATATATATATATATATATATATATATATATATATATATTTTATTGATTTTCCACAAAGAAGAAGGAAGAGGAATAGAGAGCTAGAAACGTCGATGAGAGAGAAACATCGACCAGCTGCCTCCTGCACACCCCCTACCGGGGATGTGCCCACAACCAAGGTACATGCCCTTGACCAGAATCGAACCCGGGACCCTTCAGTCCGCAGACCGACGCTCCATCCACTGAGCCAAACCGGTTTGGGCTCCAAGTCATACTCTTAACTCTGATTAGTATCTACATGGTCTTTGCAGCTACAGGAACTCACCAATTTCCTTTCAGCTGCCAGTGGAACTGGCAACAAGGGATCTCTATCTTAGACAAGGCAAATGGACAAAGCAGTGTAAATAGTCAGTTTCACTTTCTTAATGGTGAGCACTAGCATATAGCATCGGATTTCCCTCCACATCGTGCCCCCAAATGTTAAGAATATATATATTTGTCAACGTATAGCATTTGACAGAAAAGGCAATGTTTTGTTGGTTTTTCCCTTCACGTCTAATTTTAAAGAAAGTAACAACCTAAAAAGGGGAGGCATCTTGAAACATTCGATGTACCTGTAAAGGTCTTTACATAATCCAACCAATGAGAGTAAGGCAGTCTATTTTGTAGACTGCTCTGTTCTCAGTGCCTGGCTATACAACAGGTGCTCAATCAATACTTGTAGAAGGAGTGAATAAATGGACCCATTTCCTAAGAACACACAACCAGTCTGAGGATTAATGTCACTATTTCTAAGACACTGAGTTCAGTGCCTTCTTTCCGATCCTGAAGGGCCCAGGCTCCCTGCTGCCTTTAGGCCTGTGCTTGGCGCCACTTCCTACCTAAAGACGCTTCTTCCCATGAGCTGCATGTGACCGGCTCCTTTTTCGCAACATTTCCTCCCAGGCTAGAGAAGCCTTCCGTGGCCACTGGATCTGAAGTGAGAGGTCACCGCCCCCGCCACAATCCACTGATCTCTCTAACTTACTGCGTCATAGTTCTCATCATCATATAAAACGATCTACTTAGTACAGTGGTCGGCAAACTCATCAGTCCAGAGAGCCAAATATCAACAGGACAACGACTGAAATTTCTTTTGAGAGCCCATTTTTGTAAACTTAAACTTCTTCTAACGCCACTTCTTCAAAATAGACTCGCCCAGGCCATGGTTTTTGTGGAAAAGCCACACTCAAGGGGCCAAAAGAGCCACATGTGGCTCGAGAGCCACAGTTTGCCGACCACGGACTAAGTATATTGTTTAATACCTATCCCTACACCTCTGGAAGATAAATAGGAGAGATGAGCCACATTCGTTAGCTCAGCTCTTCCATCTGTTAAACTATTATATTATTTGATTTCAGTTCACAATGCCAAGGACTATTTTCACCCTTTCATACACTGAACTTCCAAATGAAATGGAATCATAGCAAACTTTAGCCATACTTACTGCAGATGTTTTATATATTTTTTCAACCTCCAGCACTTAGCTAAAGTCTGGTATCCTAAACAAAACTTTCGGTTTGACTTTTTTATTGGGAGCAGGAGAAGTAAAATATTGAAGAAAAATGATGTGGACCTTAATCAGTTAATATGGTATCGTATTAACTTCTACAGAAACTTCAAAACTACAGCATAATTCTTAATAGTTCTTAACTAGTCACAAATTAAGAACACAATTCTTAACTAGTCACAAGTTTGAGACAACTTCTCAAAGTGGCCTGTAGAGCAGAGGCTGACCCACATCACAAGACAGTTGAACTCTGTTATCAGTTCATGCACCTGAGGCTAGGCCACCTCCAACGTGACTACACTGAGCAGCATTTCAAAACCATTTCCTTTTTCCAGATTCTGTGCGTGTTTTAAATTATACATAATTCTAGTCAGAATACATTGATGGAAATTAAACAAACTGAACGTATGCATACGAGAGCCAGGCAAATGCAAGAAACTTAAGAGAGAAAAAAATATAGCATTTGACCAGAAAAGCAATGTTGTTTCTTTGTGTCTGAATGTAAATAAAGTAACCGCCCAGGAAACTAGAGAGGGGAGGCATCTTGAGATACTTTGTGTATTTTTAAACGTCTTTATAGAAAACAATTCATGACATGTATGGAGAACGTCAAGGGAAGTTAGATTTAATCAAGCCAAATAGAAAATCGGCCACAATGAGCCTCTGAATCAAGGTATGTGGTCCCTTTAACGGTAGCCCTCTAGGCTTAGTCCTTCCAGATCCGGAAGGAGAACTTTAAAATGTGTTTTTCTAAAATCAGTGGGTTAAAAAGAGGAAGAGGTCAGCAGAAGCCGGATTCCAGAGCCGGCGGGGGCTGGCTCCCGACGGTCCCGCCCCGGAGCGCGCTGCCCGCAGGTGCGCCCGTGCGATCTGGGCCCGGGGGCCGCGGGGGAGGCGGCGAGGCTGCAGCCGCCGGACCGGGCCCCCTGGCCGCGCCGCTCACCGGGGGCCGGGGCGTGCGGGGCGTGCGGGGCGCGGGGCGCCCGGACCGGGGATCCCCGCCCCTCCGCCCCCCGCGCCTGCCGCAAAGCGCAGGACGCCACCTGACGACGCGGAGACACAAGGAGGCGCAGCATCTGCAGGGACATCGGACCGCGGGTGTCCGGCCAGGACCCCGTTCGCATGCTCGTCTTACCTCCACCGCCTGGGCTTCCTCCTCCTCCACCTCCTTCCGCTCCGACCACAGGCTCCCGCGGGCCCCGGAGCCCCGAGACACGATTCTCGGCGGCTGGGTGTTGGCGATGGGACACCCACTGCGCATGCCCCACCATACAGCCCAGGAAGGGGGCGGGGTTGCCTCTCTCCCATTGGACCGCGGTGCTGAGTGACAGCCGTCGAATCCCGCCCCCTTCTGATTCCAAACTAAGGAATGGGCATATCAGCAAAATTGCAAGGGAGGTATTTGGGGGGCGGGGAGGGGAAGGGGGGTCTGACTTACAGATGGTGAACGCCTTAGCTTGCGTGCAAAAAAAAAAGGAGAAAGAAATGGAGGGCAGCTGTCTTCTCTATCTGCTGAAAACCCGCCCCATCAGCTCATTCCGGTCTTGTTTCCTAACCCTTGACTGATTTCACAGTTCCAGTAAAAACTGCGAACACAAATCGCAAATCGACAATCCCGGCAGGAACAATGAAAGAATAAGTCAGGAGTCATCTCCGTGTGCTCATCTAGTAGGCAAGTCTTCATAGCATACAAGGCGTTCATTCTCAGCATCCTGGAAGGGCAGGGCATATTTTGCACAGGGTTTGAAAAAAGCAGAAAATCTTCTAGCAACAAATATTAAACAATAATGTAATTGGTAGATAAAAAGCATCACTTTCTTCAAGTGAAATAAGTACCTCACCAAATTAGCTTGCCCTTTGCTTACATTAGGGCGACATTATTTTCTGAAAGGATCCCCAGGACATCAAAAGTCCAATGCACTTAAGTGGGGAAAAAGCAACCCCAGAATATTTTGCATTGGTACCACCTGAGCAAATTCTTTTATATATATATATATATATATATCCACTGATAAGAAGCAAGGATCTCTTGCTTTATCTTTCATTTTTTACTTTTAACAAAGAAATGGGAGCAAGATGTATTTTGTGTTTCTCACCTTTATTGAAGAAAACTACAGTGCAAGTTTGATAATAAGCTGCAGCTTATACTCTGTCCCTGTAAAAAGGGAGCAATAGAGAGAGATGGGCATTCCGCCAAGCTGAAGCACACATTCCATCTAAAAGAGTAGTATGATTCAGCCATAGCTGATGTGGACTTTGAGGGATTTTGACCTAATATAGTCAAATTATCTGCTTTGTTAAGATATCATGGAAATTCAGATTTTTATGTGAAATTCCTCCTATTTTTCAATATTCTTAGATTTTAATTAAACATTTTGTGATCAGATAAAATATCTTTCGGCCTCTGTAAAAGACAGTAGTGTCAACCATAGAGTTTTAAAGCTGAAGAGGAGGCCCTTAATAGATGATCTAGCTCTACTTCCTCATTTCACATATTAAAGAAACTGAAACCAAAAGAAAATTCATCAAAATCACCCAAATGATTATGAGCAGCACAGGTCCAAATGACTTAATTCAGAATCTTGAGTACTTCCTACCATATAATTCATTCAGCAAGGATCCATTGAAAACCTCTCATATGTCAGGTACTTTTCTGGGCACTGAGATAACTAAGAGGACTAGGATATTTTCCCTCAAGGAGTACAAGGAGTTGGATCCTCCCCAGGACACTGTAAGATATGCTCTGATGAAGATTTGTACACAGCACCATGGGATCCAGAGATGCGGAAGCCTTACTGTGGAGTCAGGGACCATTTCAAAGGAGAAGTGTTAACAGAACACTTAAGTGTTAACAAAAAAGTCTTGATTTTTGGAAAGAAAGCAGGACGTCTGGCCACCTTAGGTTGGAGTTATAGGAAGAGATGAGCTCTCTAACTCTCACGATGGAATGTTATGAACTTTCTATGTTTAAGGAGGGCATAGGAAAAACAACCCTGACAAGAAGTAGTCAGAGAAATAGGAAATAAACCAGGAAAAGGTAAACTAAAGAATGAAGGAAAACATCTCAAAAAGAGGTAATGATCTACGATATTACATATCACAGTAAGTTCAAGTATTTTAAGAAGCGCAACTTGTGCATTGGACTTGAGAATTAAGGAGTAGTTGGTGTCATGGACATAGACAATAGGGTAGTGAAGACATGGGGGCAGAGGTAGAGGTTGGGAGAAGAGGGAGAAAGGGGAGGGGGAATGGGAGATATCTATAATACTAGCAACAGTATTTTTGTATATACACTTTATATATGTACATATATGTAACAAAGTGGTTGGTGAATTTAGGCATTTCAATCATCAAGGAACTACCATGCAAAGAATTTACATCTACATAAGGTCCAGTGTATTCTCCAAACATCCTTTCATGTTACATTGATGAGGGGAAAGTGGGGGAAGAGCCAGAGCCTCTGTGTGGATTAAATCGGTGTAAAACTGCATGCTGGCGCTGCTGTGGCTCACTCAGGGTACACGATGGAGGCTTTGTACAATAGAAACCCAGACTCATGGAAGAAATGCTGTGAGACCCAGAGGTGTTGGAATGTCCTGGTGGCTGGATGTCCTGGGAACAATTGGCCGAAGTCAGCTGGGATTGAGCAAATCAGGGGTGGGTTACAAACTGTATGAGAAAGAACAAAAATAGCCAATAATTATGCTTGGAAAGCAAACCAAAGTACACAAAGAAAAGCAAAATAAAACAAGCTGTTTTATTGTTGCTATTTGGACCAAGCAAATAAAAAAACAAATCTGGATTTAATACGGGGAGAATCTATTCGGAAGTTATTGTAATGGGGAGAAACCTTTAGTATAAGTTTTGCAGATGTTTCATGATTTAGGCAATAGTATTATCCTATATAATAAAGAGTTAATATGCTAATTAGGCCTGACAGCAGAACGACTAGTGGGTGGGGCGTGGCAGCTAGGGCTTCAAGGGCCTACTCTTACACAAATTTCATATATAAGAGAGAGGAATAAACAAGACTAGAAAGAATTGGGTGTGAGGCCTTGGAATGAATGGATTTGACAAGATCAGAAAATGTTTCACCTTGAGGCCAGTCTAGAGGGGGTGCTGTTGAGGAAGGGCTGAGGCTGGACTAAAGTTCAGGCACTTGGGGAGGAAGGGGAGAATCTTAACCAAAGTTTGGCTAGCAAGCATTTTGTCCTGATTGATCTGTACTGACAGAAGTTTAGTTAACCATTCAGGAGGCAAATGGGGATCTGGCCTTGTCCAGCCTTGTAGGTAAATGAGCAGGAGTGGGGTTTTCAGGAAGAGGGAATTCTGTGAGTCTTATCCAAGTCATATGAGGAAGGGTGGTTATATACCATAAGCCCATTTCCCAGAAACCGAGTGTATGAGGACTTCTTTAACTATCACTGTTTTCAAGATCACAAGGCCCAGGTAAAATTCAGCATCATCAGACGCCTAAGAGACTGGCGATGTGAGAAAGAATGATAATACAGGGTGCTGCCAAGGGTAGAATATGAGGAAATGAACACTGCCTTATAGTGTGGCAGCTCTTCAAATGGACACAGCCTTTCAGCAAACTTTCAAATGTAAGCTCATCAGCCTCATCTTTAAAAATTGATACCAAGAGAATGCTTGGACAAGTGTGCTGATATAATCTATATTATGATATTATTTTAAATACCAAACATTTGGGAACAACATAAATACCTGTCATTGAGATCCATTAAGGATATTTGCACACACATAACAATGTGGCATTAGCAAAGATAATGGAGAGTTAGAAGTAGTGTAGTGATTAAGAGTTGCTCGCTGGAGTCAGGCTGCCTGAGTCAAACCCCAGCTTCAGCATTTATTGACACGTAATCTTGGGCAACTCAATCTCTCTGTGCCTCAGTTTTTTTCACCTGGGAAATAGAAATGTATTTATGTCATAGGTTTGTTAGAGGGATTACATGAGTTAATACAAACTAGCATGTAGTGTAACATAAATATAATAGTACTAGAGGCCCAGTGCACAAATTCGTGCACCAGGGGAGAAGTGGGGAGGGTCCCTCTGGGTGCCTGAAACCTGCAGTCCAACCCCGCCTGCAGCTCCTTCCTGCTGCTCCCACTCATCCTGGCCCCACTGTGCCTGCCACAGATTTGCACCCAATCAATTCCTATCGGAAGAGGCTAGTGCTGCCATAGCAGCACTTGGCAGCCATAGCTCTGCATCTGTCACCCTCCAAAGGGGAGTGGCCTGTGAATCAGGCTGAAACCAGCTCTATGACATCCCTGAGGGGGCCTGGATTGTGAAAGGGTGCAGGCCAGGCTAAGGGACCCTACTGGTGCACAATCAGGCTAGGGAGGGATGGCAGGAGGGCTCCAGGGTGTGTACGGCCCATCTCCCTCAGTCCTGATCAGCCAGACCCCCAACCAAGCTAACCTACTGGTTGGAGCATCTGCCCCCTGGTGGTCAGTGTATGTCATAGTGAGTGGTTGAGCAGCCTTAGCATGCCATTAGCATATTACACTTTAATTGATTGTTTGGTTGTTTTGCCATTCAGTCTATTTGCATATTACCCTTTTTATAGGATAGTTAGTTTTTCCAGATTTATATTATTGGCAAAGGTGTTTTTCCTATATTAAATATGAAATCCAGCTACAAAATAAAATATGTGTTATTATACCACCTTTAAATGGCACCAAAAGCAAAGGCAACAAAAGAAAAAACAAAGAAGTTGGACCACAAACTAAAAGGAAACCATCAATAAAATGAGCCCGGCTGGTGTGGCTCAGTGGTTGAGCATCGACCCCATGAATCAGGAGGTCCTGGTTGACTCAGGGTCAGGTTACATGCCTGGGCTCAATTCCCAGTAGGAGGGTGTCCAGGCGGCCACCAGTCAATAATTCTCTCATCATTGATGTTTCTATCTCTTCCTCTCCCTCTCCCTTCTCTCTGAAATCGATTAAAAAAACATTTTAAAATGATGCTCAACATCACTAATAATAAGAAAAATGAAAATCAAAACCACCAAGAGATAGCACCTAACATCTATTAGAATGGCTGGTAACAAAAAGACTAGACATAAGTCTTGCTGAAGATGTAAGAGAAAGGGAGTCCTTATGCATGTGAGTGGAATGTAAATTGGTACAGCCATTATGGCAAATAGTTCCTCAAATATTTAAAAATAAGACTAGGATCAGTGACAAAAGTCAACAAAAACGTAGAATTCTATTAGGTAGACAATTATAAAATTATTAATTC